GATAATTGGATGCCCCGATTCTCTGTATGTCAAATTATTTTTCCATGCTTAGGAAGTTTTCTGCTATTACTTTGGTGAACAGGTTTTTTTTTTTTTTTTTTTTTCTTTGTACTATCTTCTGATTTTTCATTGATTCCAGTTAATCTTATATTATTTTTGTACTTGGTATCGAACCCACAACCTTGCACTTGTGAGGTAGGCATGGTGCAACTGAGTTAAATCCCAAGCCCTAAACAGGTTTTTTGTTTGTGCTATCTTCTGCTTTTTAATTGATTTCAATCAATCTTATGTTATTCTTTGCATCATCCAACAGCTATTAGATTGATTTTTCATGGTCCCTTGCTGTTTTTAAGAAGTCTTTCATTTGATGATCTCTAACCGCAGACCTGTCTTCTGGATCTGATATTCTTTCCTCACATTGGTTGATTCTGCTGTGTATACTTTCGTTTTGTTGTTGTTGTTGTTGTTGTTGTTTTGTACCGGGGATCGAACCCAGGACCTTGCAGTTGTAAGGCAGGCAGCGGCACCACTGAGCTAAGTCCCCAGCCCTGCTGTGTATACTTTCAATTGAATTTTTAATCTCCTAAATATCTGTTTGAATATGTTTCATGGAATCCAGTTCTTTCTTATTTTGGCATTCAATGTTCCATCACTTTCCTAAACTCCTCTTTTTTTAAAAAAAATCTGTATCTACTCTAGATTTGCTAAACATAGCCTTCATTATGGTCATCATATCTTTAGTTTTGTGTGAAATTATTTCTGATTTTTTTCTGGAGCCTTATTTATCTGCCTTGTCTGTCCCCTGCTACCATTTTAGAAAGTTCAGTTAGGTGGCTTTTGATTTCTTTCATCTCAGTGTCCCCTGAATTTGCCTTGGGTGAGCTAGAGGTCTGGGGTTGCACCTTGCTTCCATGTGTTCTCATTTTCTATTTTTAAAAATTTGTTTTCTACATTGATGCTTGTAAATTGTTTATGGTATATAGCTTTATTACTAGTATTGAGACCTCCTTAGGAAATAACTACTTTTCAAAGATGTCTTCTTGGTGTAGCTAGCTTTTGGCTTTTTAGTCTCTCCCAAGATCCTGCCTTTTCAACTTGTTAAGGATGAGAAGTTGCTGCCTATTTGGGCTAGCTCTCAGTTCTCTGGTATTGGACTGTGGCATTTTTTTATGATTCCCAGACCATCTCAGAATTGGCATAGAAGGAAGAACAATGGATCACAATAACTATGTTACTTTGTCTAAAGTAGTATAATCAGTAATCACAATAGTATCAAGTACAGTGTAGAAAATCACAAAATGTTGTATCTGTTAATTTGCCACCTTTAAATATAAGTATGAGATTTTATAGTTATATAACAAAATCTAAAATAAATCAGAAAATTATATACAGTAAATATCCCCTCAATAGTATTTTTACCCTCGGGGGACAAAATTTAAATGGGATAAGTGTAAATAATAGAAAAATAAAGCAGAGAAACTGATTAGAAGCAAGGCTGAAGGAGAAAGGAAGAGATTTTATGGTTATATAACAAAATCTAAAATAAATCAGAAAATTATATACAGTAAATATCCCCTCAATAGTATTTTTACCCTCGGGGGACAAAATTTAAATGGGATAAGTGTAAATAATAGAAAAATAAAGCAGAGAAACTGATTAGAAGCAAGGCTGAAGGAGAAAGGAAGATTCCCCATGCTTTGGGAAACTGATGAAGACAGGAAGGAAAGAAAGAAGAAAAAATGAAAACAAGTACTAAACAAAAGAATCTAAAAACAATGTTCACACTCATGAACAAACAAAAACAATCAAGGAAAAAAAGCAAAGAGTAAAAAAAAGTGATTTCTCTGTGATTTTAAGCCTGTGGTTATCTTCCGGGTTTTACAGTTTTGTGGTAGTGTTGAATTCAGGCTGTGCCTCCACTGTCTCTGCTAGACAAAAGAGGCAGACAGAGCCCAGATCCTTGCTGGCTGATCACAGTATGCCTGTAGTAGGATTAGAGTGGGGGTGCTGGATAATCCCAGCAAGCCTGCAGTAGAAGTAGAGTAGGGTGCCGATTCTGGTAATTACAACTCCACAGAAGTTCAGGCTGATCCTGGCCTGTGTTTGTGGGGCTGGAGTGGGAGTTGTTTGGCCTACTACATTCTAGGTGTCTCTTGCGGGCCTGACTTTGGCTCCCTGACCCTGAATGTCTCCCACAATTGTCTCTCACCCAGTCCCCGGGAGCCCTGAGAGGAAGCCAACAAATAGATGCTCTGAGCCCTGGGTTCAGTTGGCTCTTCCATAAAATGGCATCTGGCCAAGCACTCTCTCTATGGAATGCTTGGAATGGTGTCACTCACCAACTGTTGGAGCTCACAGCATCTACTACTCTGTTCCACTATGTGGATGCCACTGATCACCCAACTCCACTGTGTCTTTGTAGACTGGGGCCTCCTCTCTCATTTCGTGAGCCAGGAGTCAAGAAGAAAGTGCAGTTTGCCACCTCCTTTTGCTGCATTGAGGTCTGTCTCTTCATTTTCCCTGTGGGTTTCAATTCTCCCTTTAGATCCTTCCTGGGTCAAGGGAATCTACCTCCCTTCTTTTTTTTTCTCCAAGTTGTTATATTACAGAGTCTGAATTCCAAATCTCAGAGAGCCTGATTTGCTGCTGTTTACTGCTCTCTCATGGTTTTCTAAATTGGTAAATTGTGATTGTCTATATCTACTGGTCTGTTTTTGCAGGTTTGTTTTGTTACTTTAAAAAAATATTTTGGTGCTGAGGACTGTACCCAGGACCTCATGCTTGCTAGCTCGGCAACACTCTACCACTGAGCTAAATCCCTGATCCCTGTCTTTCCAGTTTAAAGGACAGAGGTTTGTTCTATAACCTTACTTCTCTGATGAATCACGTAGAGTCATTGGTTTTTCAGTTTGTTTAGCATTTTGATTTTTGTTTAGGATGGAGTGGTAACTTCTAAGTTTTTTATAAGGTAGAAGAGAACCTAGAAGTCCTCTTTTTCTATTTTAAGAGAAGAGAAATCAAGACAAGGCAGTTGGATTTACTGATGTGTTCAAAGTTAACAAAATAATGTAGGGCAGGGGCTAGAATCACGGTCCTATTTAAGTTATCCGGAATAGATTCAGGACTGATATTTATTAAAACATCTTTTCATTGCTAAGATAATCACCATCTCATTTTTTATATATCATTTCTTAGTACAAATTTTGACAGATTATATATTCTTAGAAAAACTACATCAAGTGTTCAATTTTTTTTTTTTTGGAGACAGGTTCTTGCTATATAGTTCAGCTGGCTTTGAACTCTTTATGTAGCCCAGGCTGGCCTCAAACTAGCACCAGCCTTCTCAGCCTCCTGAGTGCTAGGATTAGAGGTGTGTATCACCATGCCCAGCTCAGGTGTTCAATTTTATCTGAGTAGAGTTTTGCAAAGAACTTCCTCAGGATTATTTAATTTCCTCTGGTTCTGGTGCTCTTTCTACCACTCAGTTCTAATATATTTTACTTATCCTGCATGATGAGACTCTTCACTGATTTACCTGTTTCACCTTTTATGTATATTGCTCTGCTTACCTTCAATGAATATGCCTGACAATTCAATTAATAGGATTGACTTCTTTGCGGGCCAATGTGAATAATACACTTCTAAACCAAGACCTAACAATGGAATCTTTAAATGATCATTGAGAATCACATCATTGAGATTCAGTGATAATCACTTCAGGTGTAATATTCAAATGTTCTGATCAGCTATGGTTACTAGAACAAGGTACAAGCACTATAAGAGGGCAGATTACAATAAGACTATACCAAAGTATAAAATCTGTTTAGAGATGACTTTTAAATCTGTATGAATTTATTCAAATACTAATTTGTGACAGTGTTCCTTCATTCTCCTGAGAATTGTAGGTTTAACTACTGTTTCATCCTTGTGTTTTCTTCTTCTACTCTTTATATCCAAGTCTTCATAATATAGGTGCTGCTTAACTGAGCTCTCTATAGATCCCAAGCCAGAAAGACCATTATCTGCCCACTAAGCTCTTCAATTTTGAAGTCATAGACACATACACACATATACATATATATTACACATATACATAGGTACACATGTGTATATATACATGTGTGGAATATATATACACACACATTTTTAGCACACGAAAATATAGGATTACTTTAAAAAAAATCTAAACTTTCAAACTATAATAAGCCTTAGTCTATGAAGTCAGCAGAAAAGAATGTCAAGTAGAGAATGTCTTTTTCAGGTCAAATAGCTGCCTGTATTCCTCTGATATTGATATTTTCCCTCTAACTCTACCTTGTCTTGCCGACAGTTCCTCTACACTCAGTCTATCCTACAGAGGGAAGAATACCAAAGAGCATAACATGCCTTGCAATTTTATCTTACTCTCTTTTTTAAAGGCATTGAGTTCCTAAAAGAAGTAGATTCTGAGACAAACTTGGTTAAGTTAAGGGTAATGTTGCATTAGGGTTTCTCTGGAGAGGGCATGTTGTTGAAGAGGTGTGATCTAAGAAAATAATGTTTATGTGTAAGGATTTGATTTGAGGTTTTATCTATTTGATATCATTTTATTGATATCTATTTCAGACACTGTTATAAGGAAAAAAATTGCTGGGTTCAACTACTCTTGTGCCAGTACAAGAAAAACTTTAAGGAATAAAATTGAGACAAGCTTACTTTCTCTTCTGACATGTGTGTGTGTTATACATCCTTTTTTGTGTAATACTTTATATTTTTCATGATACTTTACATCTATATTTTTATTGCTTCTGCACAACCATTAAATTTTTTACATGACTTTTTCAGAATCTACACAGTAAGCTAGTAGTAGAGAAAGTAGGAGAGTCCAGCTCTTGGGTATCATGGTTCTTTTAGCTGTGTACTAGAACTGTTAAGTAATAGGTTTGATTTATCAGTTTTGCTCACATAAGGCTCTTGAGTGAGCTCCTGGATGGCAGTATTGACACTTCATGTCTTGACAGATAAAGAAAGCCAACGAGAGAAGGAGAAGCTGGAAGCAGAGCTAGTCACTGCCCGTTCTACCAATGAGGACCAAAGACGACACATTGAAATCCGAGACCAGGCCCTGAGCAATGCCCAGGCCAAGGTGGTGAAGATGGAAGAAGAGGTATAGTTTCCTGGTGGCATGTGAGCCCAAGGGTAGGAGAGCTGGGAAAACAAGGGCACTAGGGCTTCCCATTGTGGTGAACTGGCAATTGGAAGGGGGTGGTGCTGTCTTCTGCTTCTAGCTACCGCTGTGCTGATGTGAATGAAGTTTGATTTCTTCTCTGTAAATTTCTTTCTTTTGCTGTAGAATAGGATATCACTAGGGTGAAGGGGCAATTACCATTTGCTCATTCATATAAGTTCATCACCCTTATGCACAAAGTTCTTCCTATGTACCAACCCCCCTTCCTTTCTAGGTAGATGATAGATAGATAGATAGATGGATAGATAGATAGATAGATGGATCCCAGTTCTTACGGAAATTTAAAACTTTATTTTGCAAGAACTATAAAATGATTCCAGATTTTTAAAGTCCTTCAATGATCTTGAAATTAGAATGATTGTTGTCTCTTCACACTTAGTGGGAAGTCAGTCCACTTACAGGTAATAATATATCTTTTCTAATTTCTTTCTTTTTTTTTTTTTGGTACTGGGGCTCGAACTCAGGTCCTTGTGCTTGCGCAGCAGGCAGCGAAACCACTGAGCTAAATCCCCGGCTTCAAGTAATAATATATCTTGATGACTATCCTTTTTGTTGTTGGATTTGGTAGATTGGTTTGGGAGATCTGGGATAGGATAAGACCCAGAGATAGTTTGCAATTTATGTCTAGAAAATGCACTATGATAGCTACTATGGTTTGGTGACTAGTTTTTAGAGTATAATTATTTGATGTGAATGAATTTGATAGTCTTATGTACAACGATGGAGCCTTCCCTTGACAAATGCAAAGACTCCCAAACTACTAAACATATGATAAATATGTATCTGAACAGTCCCATGTACATGCTACTCGACTGCAACAATAAACTGTTTAGGTAAAATATAGGGAGCTTTGCTGCTAGATTATCATTAATAAATCTTGGATCTCAGTTGTAATTGTACTGGGATACAACTACCTTATAAGGTGCTTTGCAGTTCCACAAATGAGTGTATTCTAGCCAAATGTTGATGTTAAAGTGTAATTTGGTTAATTTTTTATATCTAATTAAATTCTTCTGGATAATCTGATTTTTTTTTTTTTTGTACCGGGGATCGAATTCAGGACCTTGCACTTGCGAGTCAGGCGGCACAACCAGAGAGCTAAATCCCTGGCCCTAATCTGAATTGTTTTAAGGGGAAAGATATACTTCACTTAACAAGTTGAATGTTTTAGAAATCTAAGACAAAATTAAAATGTTAGTGGCCAAATAGCATTCTGGCTATTTTAAGTGAGGTATCTTTCCCACGTTCATTCATTGCCTGTTTCCAGTCCCACAGTAAGAATGTTTATATTTTCTTGGTATCTTCTTTTTTGTTTGTTTGTTTGTTTGTTTTTTCTCATTGGGAATTGTACCTTTATATAATGCATCTTGGTTCTTATTTGTTCCCCATTCCTAGCCCTCCCTTCACGCCCTCCACCCTTCCCTATTTACAAACACTTTATTTCCATTTTTTCCATTTCTCA